ACAGAAATATAAAGGATTACAAGAGAATACTATGAAAAACTATATGCCAACAAATTGGATAACCGAGAAGAAATGGATAAATTCCTCGATTCACACAACCACCCAAAATTGAAATCAAGAAAAAAATAGAGAATCTGAATAGACCAAGCACAAGTTAAGAGATTCAAACAGTAATCAAAAACCTCCCAAAAAACAAAAGTCCAGGACCAGGTGGCTTCTCTGGAGAATTCCACAAAACATTCAAATAAGATTTAATACCTATCCTCCTCAAACTATTCCAAAAAAATGAAGATTATGTGATGCTTCCTAACTCATTCTATGAGGCCAACACTACCCTGATCCCCAAACCAGACAAGGACAACACAAAAAAGGAAAATTACAGGCCAATATTGCTGATGAACATAGGTGCAAAAATCCTCAACAAAATATTGGCAAACCGAACACAGCAATACATTAAAAGGATCATACACCATGATCAAGTGGGATTTGTACCAGGGACACAGGGATGGCTCAATATCTGCAAATCAATCGATGTGATACACTACATTAACAAAATAAGGAATAAAAATCACATGATCATCTCAATAGACAGACAGCATTTGACAAGATCCAACATCCATTTATGATAATAAAAAAACTCTTAATAAAATAGGTAGAGAAGGAAAGTACCTCAACATAATAAAGGAAAGTACTTCAAAATAAAACATATGACAAATCCACAGCCAATATCATACTGAATGGTGAACAACCCTCTGAGAACAGGAACAAGATAAGGGTGCCCACTCTTGCCACTCCTATTCAACATAGTACTGGAGGTTTTGGCCAGAGCAACTAGGCAAGAAAAAGAAATAAAAGGTATGCAAATTGGAAAGGAAGAAGTGACACTCTTGCTGTTTATGGAAGACATGATTCTATATATAGAAAACTCGAAATAATCTACTGGAAAACTATTAGAAATAATCAACAACTACAGCAAAGTTGCAGGGCACAAAATTAACTTCCAAAAATCAGTTGCATTTCTATACACTAGTAATGAACTAGCAGAAAGAGAGTTCAAGAATACAATTGCATTTACAATCACAACAAAAAGAATAAAATATCTAGGAATAAACTTAACCAAGGAGGTGAAAGACCTATACACTGAAAACTGTAAGACATTGTTGAAAGAAATCAAAGAAGACATTACGACTTGGAAAGATACCATGTTCATGGGTCGGAAGAATAAGCATAGTTAAAACGGCCATACTGCCCAACGCAATCTACAGATTCAATGTAATCCCAATCAGAATCCCAATGACGTTCTTCATGGAAATGGAACAAAGAATCCTAAAATTTATATAGAACAACAAATGGCCCAAAAAAGCCAAAGCAAATCTGAGAAAAAAGAACAAAGCTGGAAGCATCACAATCCCTAACTTCAAAATATACTACAAAACTACAGTGATCAAAACAGCATGGTACGGGCATGAAAAACAGACACACAGATCAATGGAACAAAATTGAGAGCCCAGAAATAAAAGCACATTCTATGGACAGCTAATCTTCGACAAAGGAGCCAAGAAGATACAATGGAGAAAGGAAAGTCTCTTCAATAAACGGTGTTGGGAAAACTGCACAGCCATGTGCAAAAGAATGAAAGTAGACCATTATCTTACACCATACACAACTGAACTCAAAATGGGTTAAAAACTCAAATGTAAAATCTGAAACCATAAAACTCCTAGAAGAAAATATAGGCAGTACACTCTTGACAGCTGTCTTAGCAGCATCTTTCCAAATATCATATCTACTCAGGCAAGGGAAACAAAAGAAAAAATAAACAAATGGGACTACATCAGACTAAAAAGCCACTGAGAGGCAAAGGAAACCAGGTACAAAATGAAAAGACATGCTATCCCAATCAGAATCCCAAGAACATTCTTCACAGAAATTGAACAAACAATCCTAAAATTCATATGGGGGAACAAAAGACCGCGAATTGCTAAAGCAATCCTGAGCAAGAAAAACAAAGCCGGCGGAATCACAATCCCCGATTTCAAAACATACTACAAAGCTACAGTGATCAAAACAGCATGGTACTGGTACAAAAACAGGTCCACAGATCAATGGAACAGAATTGAAAGCCCAGAGATAAAACCACACATCTATGGACAGCTAATCTTCGATAAAGGAGCAGAGGGCCTACAATGGAGAAAAGAAAGTCTCTTCAACAAATGGTGCTGGGAAAACTGGACAGCCACATGCAAAAGATTGAAAATTGACCAGTCTTTTTCACCACACACCAAAATAAACTCAAAATGGATCAAAGACCTAAAGATTAGGCCTGAGACAATAAGTCCTTTGGAAGAAAATATAGGCAGTACACTCTTTGACATCAGTTTCAAAAGAATCTTTTCGGACACTGTAACTCCTCAGTTGAGGGAAACAATAGAAAGAACAAACAAATGGGACTTCATCAGACTAAAGAGCTTCTTCAAGGCAAGGGAAAACAGGATTGAAACAAAAAAACAGCTCACTAATTGGGAAAAAATATTTACAAGCCACTTATCCGACAAAGGGTTAATCTCCATAATATACAAAGAACTCACACTGCTTAACAAAAAAAAAACAACCCGATCAAAAAATGGGCAGAGGACATGAACAGACATTTCTCAAAAGAAGATATGAATATGGCCAACAGACACATGAAAAGATGTTCATCATCGCTAATCATCAGGGAAATGCAAATCAAAACTACACTAAGATATCACCTTACACCCGTTAGATTGGCAAAAACATCCAAAACCAAGAGTGACAAATGTTGGAGAGGTTGTGGAGAAAAAGGAACCCTCATACACTGTTGGTGGGAATGCAAACTGGTACAGCCACTATGGAAAACAGTATGGAGACTTCTCAAAAAGTTAAAAATAGAAATACCCTATGACCCAGCCATCCCATTACTGGGTATCTATCCTAAGAACCTGATATCAGAAATCTCAAGAGTCCGTTGCACCCCTATGTTCATTGCAGCATTATTTACAATAGCCAAGACGTGGAACCAGCCTACATGCCCAGAAACTGATGATTGGATAAAGAAGATGTGGTATATATACACAATGGAATACTACTCAGCCATAAAAAAAGACAAAATTGGCCCATTCACAACAACGTGGATGGACCTCAAGGGTATTATGTTAAGCGAAATAAGCCAGTCAGAGAAAGACGAACTCTATATGACTCCACTCATAGGTGGAAATTAGTATATTGATAAGGAGATCTGATCGGTGGTTACCAGGGAAAAGGGGGGGTGGGGGGAGGGCACAGAGGGGGAAGTGGTGTACCCACAACATGACTAACAAAAATGTACAACTGAAATCTCACAAGGTTGTAATCTATCATAACATTAATTAAAAAAAAAAAAAAAGAAAAAAAATGAAAAGACAACCCACCAACTGGGGGAGAAAATATTTGCAAAGCATATATCCAACAAGGGGTTAATTTTCAGAATATATAAAGAACTCACACAACTCAACAACAAAAAAACAAACAATCCAATCAAAAAATGGGCAGAGAATATGAACAGACATTTTTCCAAAGACGACACATAGATGGCCAACAGGCACATGAAAAGATGTTCAACATCACTAATTATTAGGGAAATGCACATTAAAACTACAATGAGATATCACCTTACACCTGTCAGAATGGCTGTAATTAGCAAGACAAAAAATAACAATTGTTGGGGGCCAGCCCCGAGGCACAGCAGTTAAGTTTGCATGTTCTGCTTCAGCAGCCCAGGGTTCGCCAGTTTGGATCCTGGGTGCAGACATGGCACCACTTGGCAAGCCATGCTGTTGGAGGCATCCCACACATAAAGCAGAGGAAGATGTGCATGGATGTTAGCTCAGGGCCAGTCTTCCTCAGCAAAAAGAGGAGAACTGGCAGCAGATGTTAGCTCAGGGCTCATCTTGCCCCCCCTCCAAAAAAAAAGAGAGAAAAAAATAACAAATGTTGGAGAGGATGTGGAGAAAAGGGATCCCTCATACACTGCTAGTGGGAACGCAAACTAGTGCAGCCACTATGGAAAACAGTATGGAGATTTCTCAAAAAATTAAAAATAGAGATACTATATGACCCAGCTATCCCACTACTGGGTGTTTATCCAAAGAACATGAAATCAACAATTCAAAGATATTTATGCACCCATATGTTGACTGCAGCATTATTCACAATAGACAAGATGTGGAAGCAACCCAAGTGCCCTTCTACAAATTAACAGATAAAGAAGATGTGGTACATGTATACAATGGAATACTACTCAGTCATAAAAAAGACAAAATCATCCCATTTGCAACAAAATGGATGGACCTTGAGAGTATTATGTTAAGCGAAATAAGACAGACAAAGCAAGACAAACACCACATGACTTTACTCACATGTGGAAGATAAACACATGGATAAGGAGAACAGATCAGTGGTTACCACAGGTCAAGGGGGTAGGAGGAGGTGGGAGAAATGCGTAAAGGGGCACATATGTATGGTGACAGATAAAAATTAGACTATTAGTGGTGAGTACAATGCAGTCTATACAGAAACTGATAAATAATAATGTACACCTGAAATTACATGCTATAAATCTTTATGACCCCAATAAAGTAAAAAATAAATAAAATAAAATGGTAATCCATTTATGGTACAAATGGTGGAAATGATCTCCAAGCTTCTTCCAAAAAGCTTCTTGAACCAAAGGGAGCTTCTTTATCTGGGAGATTTGGGAACATGGATAACAAAAATAAAGTTCTGAAAACTGCCCAGGAGTTAAAAACCCACTCAAGAAAGAGTCAACAGAACAGACCTCCGATGACCCCAGAATATCCAGCCAGCCTCTCTCCATTTCCCAAACATATTCCTAAATTTCTAAATCAGAATCAGAAAGGACCCATTATAGACTTTACCTCCTGAGACAGTAAATGAAAACAGCACCATTACCATGGAAACCAAAGGAAAATCTCAACTCTTACCTCACTCAGACCTTCTCTTTCACAGAATGTCTGAGAAAAAAACACGCAGGTCATCGTTTCTTCCTTCTTTGTAAAAAGAATAAAGTCTTTTCCAATCCTCATGGATCCACTGCATTAAAAACCAAGGACACGACAGTTTACATCTCAAATACTAGAAAAGAAGGAACAGGAGGGCAAGATACTGTGTCCGGCAATGGGTTGCTCTTTTCATAGAAACAACTCCACTGCTTTGCTGACCTGTCACCAAAAAGGTACAAGTATTAATTTTTTCCCTCAAAGTAGAGCAGATGGATTTGAACTAATCCAGCCCCCTACTCTTGCCTGAGACATGACTACTGGAGATAAGGTGCTGTCTGGGGCTCAAGGAAGAACAATCATCTGCCCCTGGCAGTTGCCACACAGGTGAAGGCAGTCTTGAGTCCTGTCTTTCAGCGAGGCACACTAATAAAATAAGCTGTGGACACATGTAACACCTACGCTCAAAGATGCTTTGAGAAACAATAGAACACAGACATGCGATGAAGCTCGTAAGCACAGCAATCCCTGAAAGAGGACTCTCTATGATCTATTTGAGAATTAAATTTAAAAAGATTGTAAAGATCCAAGTCAGTTATGGGTATGGAGATTCCAAAACAAGGTGGCACTCTCAAGTTTATATTCTTTTTTAAGTTTTACAAACTTGAATCATTTGGTATAAGATTGCCTTTAACTAAATATTGTTTCCAACAGCGATAATATATGCCTTCATGGAAAAAAGATTTCTCACCTTTTAAGACCATTGCCATACTGCCCAATGAATTTCAAGGTCGATAACAGTTTCTTGGATGTTCCAAAGTAAATAATATTTGAAGCTTCCTCTGTAATTGACAGAGATGTTTAAACTGGTTAGAAATTACGAGTCATGGACTGTGGCCAGTGGTCCAGCTGTCAGGACGTCGCAATGTCTGAAGACATTAAGACAAATCCATACCTCTTGGGTCAGCTCAGCAACAAGGATTCTTGTCAGGCTGCATAACCTCTGACCAGGATCTTAATGGCCTTATACTGAAGGTCAGACAGACCAAGCCATGTGACTTTGGGTAAACAAGAGTTTAAAACTGAGCCTTAATTTCCTTGTCTCTAAAAGGAACAACTGATACTTACATCACAGAGTTGTTGATGAAGATAAATGAAATAAATGAAATGAGATGATGCATTTATGAAACCCTGAACATGACACATGGCACTTGATAAATGCTAATAAATTAGTGTTAAATATATATATATTTGTACTACTAGTAATTTTCCATGTTTTGGCCCTTATCCAGCCCCATGTGAGACTGAGAAGACAAGAACGGCTTCTGGCTTGATACAACCTGGGGAAGGAAGGGCTACTTGTTTCAGACTTTCAGCGTTATTCTCCTGATCTCTCCAGGGCATTCTGGAATTCTAGAAAAGACTCCTCAGCACTTCAGAAAATACATACCGCCAGAAACAGGAATGCTCCCAGGGAAACAGGAAAAGATAGAAATAGGTCTCCCAATTGGCCTACCTGAATTCATGGTCTAGGATTGTCCAGAGTACACTGTGTCACTCTGCGGGCCTGCCATTCAGTGGCACCTGGTATGGGGTGTGTAAACGCTACCAGACACTGTTCATGTCAGAAGCTAACTGGACGTTCTATCACATGTTCTTACAAGGGTTTGAGTATTAGGTGAGGGTATCCATAATGACAACATTAGTTACCATTTATGGACTGTTTAGTATGTGCTAGGTACTATATTATATATTTTACATGCACTGTCTATTAAATATTTAGAACAAACCTACAAAGGAAGATATTATTATGATCCACATGTTACAGATGAGGAAATTTAAGTTTAAAGAGTTTAGGTAACCTGCCCAATGTCACACAGCTGATAAAAGCTACCACCAGGATTACAACCTAGAATTATCAAAGACCAAATCCCATGGTTTTCATCACAAACCACACAGACTCCCACCTATGGTGGCCAGAGTTCTGGGTACAGGGACACAACACTGAATAGGACAGACATGACCCCTGCCCTCAACAACTTGATGTCATGGTAGGAGAAACAGACTGAAAGAAGTAGACAAACAAGATCATTTCTGAGAGTGTTAAGTGAAAGAAACAAAACCAGGGTAACGTGATAGAGAATTAACAGGAGTGTGGCCTGCACACAGAATGATCAGGGAAGGCCTCTTTCAGAAGGTGACACCTGAGATGAGATTCAAACTAGGAGGGGCCAGCAGTTGTGGCTGGAGCGCTAGGAGCAAGGAAGTGAGCAGAAGGAGAAAAGGTCAGGGGTGGACAGAGGTCCAATAATTGAAGAAATTGGAAACATTACTGGGGGTATGAATTTTATTCTAAAGTAATGGAAAACTGCTAAGAGTTTTAAGCAGGAGAATGCTATTTGATTTATATTAAAGGAAAAAATCCACTCAGGATTTCTGTATGGGGAATGGACTGTAATGGGATAAGACTGGAGGTGAAAAGAGTTTGGAAATTTCTGTAGTCACCTTCCATGTGTCAAGATTCATCTAGCTCAGTTTGGACAACAGATAAATTCTATTTTCAGTTGGCGGACAAATTCTTCCTTCTAATTTATTACTTAATTTCCAATCAATATCAATAAAGACTTGCACTCTCAACACTAGTGGGCTTTTTAAAAATACTACTCTATATGTCAATTGAAGCGTGAGCTCCTTCTGAAGATCTAAATATTTGTCATTTGTCTGTGTTTTGATCATTTTGTTTCTGGACCCACTTAAAAGAAGTTGCTTCTTTTTCTAAAGAAGTGCCTTGAATATATCACATATTCTGGTATTTATTTTTAAAATTCAAGAAAATGAACTTAACATTCAGCCTAGAGGTAAAAAATGAAACCTTTTTCAGCGGGGTTTTCTCACAAACTCTAGTCTTCCTCTTCTTTAGTTAAGCACTAAGGAGCCAACAATACTTTTTAATCAAAATGACGTGGAAAAATCAAAATGATCCAAACAAAGGCAGAACAAGAACTGAGTAAGATATGTGTCCATTTTCTACACTTGCTGGTAAGTTCTTTGACCCTTCAGACCACGGGGGAACTTCAGAGACTCAGAAGAAGGTAATTGCTTGACTTTGTATTCTTAGCTTCAATCAGTACCAGCGAGACTCTCTTCCCTCTGGTGTAGAAATGACCAGAACAGTTCCATATGACTTGAACTCCCTCACCATTTTTTAAACCTAGTGGTCACAACCCTTGGCTTGTGGGACACAGACAAGCATTATAAGAATTCAGAGATAAGCTATCCTAAATAACTCAAAGCCCTTATCAGAGAGAATAACATTTCAACTCCACAGCAAAGAGGTTTTGTGCACCTATTATGTGCTGCCTTTTTGCCAGCCTTGATGATACAAAGATAAGCCATGCAATGTGTTGGAGACAATGGGAACGTTCAACTGAAGCAATTAAACCTTTGAACACGCAGAGAAAAAACACAAACCGCTAAAAGCAAAGAGAGGTGACCTCTACCTCAAGGTTAAGCAGAAAATTACAAATAGCCTAAGGGCAGAGGAAACTGCTTCAGGGCTCCTGCAAGCAGTACCAGAAGGGAGGGCTGAAAATTATCTGAGTCCATCCAGTGACTGTTTGTTTCCCTTGTTCCCAGATGCTTTCTCTTACAAGGAATTGGTACCTTCTGCCTTTCATTCTTTCAGCAATATTTATTTACACTCACTTTTTGTCTTGGTTTACATGAATACAATGAATTTACTCTGTCAACGGGAATATTTAAATCTCAAAAGTTCAACAACGTGTGAAGTGTGGGGTTTATTTCCCTAACAGCCCCATACCTGTTTTTGCATAGATAGCTCAATTTATTTTTATTTATTTTATGGGTTTTCAGAGTGTTTCCTCTAACAGCCAGTTAGGTACCTAGATAATTAACTTACCCGGACTCATACCACATCCATCATCCAGGAAGCACAACATGAACCCACCCTGCAGGTTTTCATTATCCACTGTAAGAGAAAGCAGTTATTACTAATACACATTGGGCTTAATTTGTTTGTCAGAGAGTCATGCTGCTCATATAATTATTCGTCCTCCTCAAATGCAGCCACTGAGTGACAGAGTTATGGCACAATGATGGAGCTCAGAAAGGCGTCTTGGCCATAGTTTCACAAGAAACTGCAGGGAGAAAGTCATCATGCAACCAAAAGGCTTTAAATTAACATAAAACATCTGCACATTAATAAATTATGTATACAGTATGACATACCCTGTTCTGGAATCTGACTGGTCCTTTAAATTTCAGGCATTCTCTCCCAGGGGGAGGGATTGAAGGTGGATGGTGATTGGACCCCACAACCCCTCTATCAAACTGATCAACCTTTATATCCTTCCACCAAAGCACTAATTCCAGAGTCCATCCAGGCCATTCTGATGAAATTCATCAGGCTCTCTTGTAAGCAGTTAATTCCCATAAGAGCCGTGTGTGTGTGCTTCTTAGCGGCAGCAAATATTTGCCTCTTGAAAGTGCATTTGATTTTTGAAAATGGCTAAGTTATTTGGAATCAATTTTGATGATTAAGAGAGATCATTAAGTTACATAATATAATCTCTTGTTAAAAAAAATTTAAAGGTGTAACGAAAACTAATGAGCCTAATTTTAATGCACAGTTTGTAATCTAGCTCTGAAAGGAATTTCAACATTTGGGTATATGAGTTCTAGCTCATCTCTCTCTCTCTCTTCCTCTCTTTTTGTTTTTTTGGTAATAGCTTTATTGAGAAAGCTTACATATCAAAAGAAAAACCCTGCATGTTTAAAGTGTACAATTTGTTCGATTTTGACATTTGTAAATACCTGTGCAACCATCACCATAATCAAGGCAGTGAACAAAGCCATCACCCGAGATGTCTCCTCATGTCCCTTCGTAGTCCCTTCTTTCCATGCTCCATCACTCCCACCGCATCCTCAGGCAACCACTGATTTGCTAATTCCGTTCCTACAGATTCATTTCTAGCAATTTATTAAGTCAACTCTGGGTTCAATGGACACCTCTAATCCACATTTTAAAAATTGTAAATAATGTTCTAGATAACCTATAAATAAATATCTAAAAAGCATATCCAAGTCTTCTGGGTTCACAATTTTTTGGCCATGTGCCCACTTCTAACGTCCCTCCTCTCCCTAATTCACTTCCTGTCTATAAACCCCCTCCTCTCCCTAATTCACTTCCTGTCTATAAACCCTCTGGATTTATATCTGCATACACCATCTCACTTTCCCAGTTCTTCTCTCTACATGGTCCTCTGGTCTCCTCAACTTGTGTGTCAGAATATTCCTCCACCTTTAGGCATTTGCTCTGTTCAGCACTCCCTCTGACTGAGGCTGACACTGCTCTACTATTCAACAAGGGGAATTCAACTCTTGGTGACTTCTTTGCACAACGTTCTCAACCTTGGCTGCACGTTTGAATCTTCAGGAGCTATTCTGAATTAACTGATCTTGGATGGGGTTCAGGAATAAAAGCTCCTCCCACTTATCTTAATGTTTATCAAGATTGGAAACCACCTGCTCCGCCCCTCAGGCAGCTGCATAGCTGCAGCAGTTGATTTTACAGCTCGCGGTATATAGTTCTCATGTAAGGAGCTTGCAGAAAGAAGGGCTTTTCTTCAGCGAATAGGTGGGAAAGACTCAAAATTCCCAAGAGACATACACTGCTTACTTTTTTCTATAAATCTCAGTGAGGGATTACACACCACCAGAGCCTCAAAATTTAATATTCCCCTACCACCCACCCTGAAGACCGGCCTTGTTTAGGTCAATTCCTTAAAACTATGGATTTCAGATAGATTTCTAGTATCTGTTAAGTATGCATTTCCCAAACAAACCACAACACCTTCTCCCTCACCAGACTTACTCCTCCTTCTGGCATTTCCTGTTCAACAAATGGCATCACTCTACCATTAGGCTTCAGCTGCCCAAGTGAAAAGCTCAGATCAAGTTCCCCATCTCCTCACCCCATAGACAGACAGTCCATTCCACCTCCTTAATGTCTTTCAAATTTGACACTTTCTCCATCCTATGACACTGCCTTCGTTCAGGAAACTATCATCTCTCTTCTGGATTACAGCAACAGCTCCCTAAGTCCTTGTTCCCACTAAAATCAGAGAGTGCAGACTGTCTGCAACCAGTTGGGCATTTCACTACTCTCCTGCTCATAACCCTTGCAAAGCTTCCCACTCCCCACAGGATGAAACCCAAGCCAGTCAACAAATTGCTTGCCTTTCATGACCTATCTCTTCTACTCTGTGATGGTTAATTTCGTGTGTCAACGTGGGTAGTATATAGTGCCCAGTTGTTTGGTCAAACACTAGTCTAGATGTTCCTATGATCGTGTTTGTGGATGTAATTAATATTTGCAATCAGTTGATTTTAAGTGAAGCAGATAACCTCCATAATGTGGGTGGGCCTCATCCAATCAGTTGAAAGCCTTAAAGGCAAAGACTGAGGTTTCCCAAAAAACAAGTAATTTTCTGCCTAAAACTGCAACACGGAAACCCTGCTTGAGTTTCCAGGCTGCTGGTCTGCCCTAAAGATTTAGAACTCAAGACTGCAACATCAACTCTTACCCAGATTTCCAACCTGCCAGCTACCCTACAGATTTCAGACTTGCCAGCCCCTATAATCATGTGACGGCAATTCCTTAAAATCAATCTCTCTTTCCCTCTCCCTCCCTCTTTCTCTCTCTCTCTCTCTCTCTCTATCTATTTCTCTCTCAATATATATTTCTCTATATATAGACATAGATATACTATATATAAATATAGATAGATATATAGATTGAGAGAGAGAGAGATCCTATCTCTCTCCTCCTACTGGTTCTGTTTCTCTGAAGAACTCTGATTAATACACTCTCAAGGCTCATCTCTTGTCACGCCCTTCCCCTCCCATACTCCCCTTGAACTAATCTTGAACATCTCAAACGTCTTTGCAACTCCATCAGTGTTCTACATTCTCTCCAGATTCCAGCCACTGCACATACTGCCCCTTCGCTCTTCCCATCCTTGACTCACCAGGCTAAGGCCTATTTTCCCTTTAGATCTTTCGTTCATATAAGATTTCTTCTAGAAAGCCTCCCTAATCCTTCCACCTCATCAGGTGCCCATAATGAATGTCTTCTTTGCAATGTGTGTTTCCTACCTTTCATAGTATATTCAAATACCTGTTCATGTATTCAGACTAGTGGCTCTTACACTTTTGGGAACACATTTCCTCAGAGACATGATAGAAGCTCTGGGCCCTCTATCCATAAAAGTGTAGATACACACCATATTTTCCACAGACCCCTACACAAGGATGCTGATTCCCTGAAAGCAAGCAGTGTGTGGACCCAGCACCTAGTCCAGTACCTGCCATTGGTGAGCACCAAAACAATGTAGTCAATGCATGCCTATGTTTACTAGAACTAATACACACAAACATATGAAACATCCATGGTTAAAATACTCAGTCTGAATTTTATAGCCCTCAAGTTACTTGAAGAAAGCTTAAGATTAGAAAGTAATTCAGGGGCCTTAGTAAATAATCTGAAAACTAGCCTAATGCTTAGATTAATTATGCATTCCCATACAATTCTATCTATTGGAGCATATGCCCTGGCCCTAGTTTATTTATTTTTTTAAGAAAAATCAATTTGCTAGGTTGATAGCCATACTGTGGGTTTGCTGCAATAAAAAAAAAATTATAAGATAAATAAATAATTTAAAACCAAAAACCGTTAAGTTCAGTTTTTCACAAAACACATATAACCTAAAGAAGTGCCACTTTCAACTCAAATTGCCAAGATTCCTTTTTGTTTTTTGTCACAATGCCAAGTGCTAGAGACAGTGGAATGAAACGAATACCGTCACGCCATGCTGGTGTCCGGCCACAAATCCAAAAGAACATAACATGTAAATTCTGATTACATTTGTTGTACTTTATGATTCCAGATAATTCTTCTCAATCCTTCAACTCTTCATCAATAATATGCTCTGAATGAAAGGCAGCTTAAATCTTTTCTGCCTTCTCCATTTCTAGGACCTCTGCGCCAGTTCAAATTCTCATGAACTCCTGCTTAAGTCATTTCCACAGCCCCACTTCCCTGCTATTCCTTCTTTCACACTTCTACAGACCATCTACAGACCATCCTGTATGCTATTGCTACAGTATCTTTCTTTAAACTTGAAAAGGGAATATTTATAATTTTCCAGGAGACATGGCTCAAAAGTCTTCAATGGTCCTCTGTCTGCAGAAAGAACCTCAGTGGGGTATTGAAGGTGCTCTTCCACTTGGCTCTAACACTTAGCTCTAGTCAGCCGTGTCGTCATTGTTCCCTGAAGGGGTTTTTCTCTATCTATCTACGCAGCTGGCTCTCTGGCATCACTCAGGTAGGTCTTTGCTAGTATACTGCCTACACAGAGAAACTCCCTGATCACCCATGAAAAATAGTACTTTCTTCCCATCACTTTGTTCTCTTATCTCACTTAATTTTCTTTCCCTTTTAGCACTTATCATTTCTGGTATATTACTTATTTGTTCATTTCTTTCTTGTCTATCTCTCCCCGTTAGAATGCGTGTTCTAGGAGAGCACAGACTCAGTCAAACATAATTGGTCTGAATTTTGCTCAATGCTTTCTCTCTAGCACCTAGAATAATTGCTCTGCTCATCCATAACAGACACTCATGAATGACTCTCAGAACCACTCCACCATTCTTTTTCTCATAGTTTTTCTTCCTATACTACTCGACGAAATCACACCCATATTTCACGCCCTAGCTCTTTAATATGAGGGAGGCATTTTCTATGTTTCCTCCATACTTTGAGTCTCTCCCAGCCAAGAGACTTATTCTACTTTACCCTGTAGAACTGGATACGTAAGGAGACCACTTTTTCTCCACTCCCAGTGTTTCCTTCCATGTGGAATGGAGCTCAGTTAGCATCAATAAAGAGGCCTTTCTCTGACCCCTGACTCACTTTTTCCTGCTGCAGGGAGCTCACCCATCTGACTGGTGATTTGGGGAAGAATAAACTGGACTGCTCAGTTCAGATCTCTCCCGTGCCTTCTTGGGAGCAAGCTGCCTGCAGAGAGCGTGAGTTCCTCCCTTGGCCCAGGGCAGCCCAGTTTGGAGGGGAAGCCTACCTCCACAGGTGGGCAAGTGCCCGACACTCTCTCCCTGAGCTCCATTCTCCAAACTAGCAATGATCAGTACTAAAGACTCTCTTGTTTTACGTCTCAAACTCTTCAGAAACGGGAGAGTAGAAAGGGAAGAAGTGTATCATTTACTATGTTTCCTTAGATATCTCAAGATGTCCATGTCTCTCTCCCTCAGGAACCAGGAGCACCACCTAGCAAGGATCTTCAGCGCTTAGAAAATTGAATTGAAGTGAATTTCTTCTTAAATACAGATATGGATTTATATCAGGACCATATCCTCTCGCCAGTAACCAACCACCAATATTTACAGGACAGCTGACAGAATCGGGGTTGGGGGTCAATTTTAACACTGTAAGAGTTTCCCTAGGTAGTGTTAACTATAGGACTGGATCCCAGAGCCTAACTTCATTTGCATCATATTCTAATGAAATGAACTAATAAATGCAATAAATACTTGGTGACTAAAAATGAAGTCAATGAAGAAAACATATTTGGTTTCACTTTTATAGCCCTCAAACATTCATCCTGTACGTTCACTTACAAATTTTAAAACTGTGGTAAGTTGGGAATGACATATACTTAATTATAAATACCCATAAGTTAATATGCTTTTTTAAAAGAATATGGTTTTCTCGTGGTAGACCAACTGCTCCAAATCAGTTCGATGCTTTCACAAAACCCTGGAAGGTCTAATTTTGTAAATGGGTCCCCTAACAAGGGAACAATGTCACTCTCGGAGTGTACTTTTCTCAAACTGGCTCCCCGCTGGGTCACTGTACTCACAAAGCACTTAGGTTACATTAAAAATCCATAGAATGTGGTTTGATTTCATGAAATAAAATAAAAGCAAAATAACTACAGGCTTCTCCATTAGAAGAAAAAAAAAGAAGAAAGCAAATCTGCTCACCTGAAAACACATCAAGTCTTGCAGCCCCCGCATCTCTGGAAAAATATAAAAACATCATCGTTTCAATATTAAATTATGCTTTAAAAAATTACATTCATCTGAATTGCTTATGAGGTATAACCTACTGTCAGACAGCAAACAATAGAGAAATCCATTTAAATTGCTTCAAAAACAATTACTAAAATGTTTCACTCTGCATTTATACATAAGCCTATGATCACTCGTAACTTGAGAATGTTACAAAGCCTGAAACTTAGAAATTTAAAAGGAGAAATGGAATTTAAAGGTAGTTACACAAAAAGCACAACAAAATGGATATGAATATTAAAAAAAAAATTGGATGGAGAATAATCCAGAGGTTATAGAAAGATTTTCATGATATATTTTAGTTTAAAAAAAGATGAAAAGAACAAGCAAATAACTAAGTAATATGTGCTGCATGATCACATTTTTAAGAACACATATGGTATACATGTGCATATCTGTAAGTAAAGAAAATCAAAACGTTAACAGTGGTTTTCTCTAGGTTGGCAAACTAAGGCCCATGGGTCAAATCTGGCCCACCAACTGTTTTTATAAATAAAGTTTTATTGGAAGACGATCATGCCCATTCATTTACATATTGTCTATGGCTGCCTTCACACATCAATGGCAGAGTTGAGTAGTTTCAACAGAGAACACGTGGCTCGCAAAGATGAAAATATTTACTACCTGGTCTTTTACAGAGAGGTGGCTGACCCCCACTCTATGTGATGAGATCACTGGTTACTTTTCCTTTTTTCTTCTTTTCTCAGTTGTCTACAACTCACAGATACTATTTGTATATTTTTAAAAATTATTTTTAAAGTAAAAATTTAAAAAGGAAGGGTGAAAGAGCCAGAAGATCCTGGTTTCAATATCAGGGGTGTGAGGGAAAGGAGGAAGACAATGAGGAATGAAGTCTTAGCTGATGTGGAAGAGGGTTTGTTGAGGGCAAGAGTCTAAAAGGAAGCTCAGAATAATAAAAACAACCCGTGGGATTCTGATGGAGAAATCGGGGTCTCTCCCAAAACTTCCACCAGTCTCAACCCAAAACCACCCCAAACAATCTGAGTAGGTACACTATACTTGTCCTACAAGCCCAGTTTCAAATTTAGTCCCTTAGCTCCTTCCTCTAGTCAATTGCCACTTCTAAGCTCCTCTTCTGCAGAAATTCTGGAGTTACCACTGCCACGTCTCGAGCATTTTCTGTGTGTCAAGTAAGCACTGAATGAGGCATTTTTGAACCTTCTCTTCTAATCCTTACAACAATCGCATGACATGTAGATATCATCTCCATTATACAATTAAATATATATTAGATAAAGAATTATATACATAATAGGTGCTCAAAAAAGGTCACTGTACTGAAATGGAAGTTTTCAAAGAAACGGTTTCTTCATACAGAAACTTCCACGTGATAAGGCACAGAACAATCACTCACTTTTACAGCGTAATTAAGACATTTCAGAAGAAGTTTTGTACTTTGGCCCAGGTAGTTTCTCTCTGAATAGCTGCTGCATTAGGAAGAGGCCCCCAACCATCCCCTCCTATACTGTAACATTGTTTCCCCCTTTCTTTACAACATTCTTTTAATATCTTCTAGTTCTCATTTTGACAACTATAGGAAATCATCAAAATCTTGAATACGATATACAGTAACTTCTTAGAACAACGCAAGGACTTTATGAAGACCTGCTTCATGAGACCAACTCAGCATCCTAAGTCTGTTAAACAGCTTTATTTGATGCCAGATACTACATCTAAGCAGCAGTGGCAAACTCAAGTGTCCACTGAACACAGAATTGAGGAGCTTGGGCTGGCCAAGGGGACACTGAGAACGGCAAAGCTGAAGGCACAGGCTAGTCCCAGAGAACACTTGCTACACATCTGATCCCACGGAGGAATGTGGCCTTGAGCTTGCTACTTCTAATCTTTAAAAAAGAAAGCAAGAGATTCAGATTTTTATGTGGCACCTCCTATTTCTTAAACCTTACAAGAAATTCCTTCTTTTCTTCCTTTTCTTTATAAACACTGTGCAAACTTTCAACGTGATCCAAGCAAAATGAGACAGGCTGGACTTGGTCAGGGGGCTGCCAGGTCACAAAGGCGGCCCTTAAGAATTGCTTTCCTGATCATATTTGTCTCATTTCTGAAGTCAACCTTTGCCAATCACCCGATCAGCCTCCACTACATGAACTGTTTCCATCATTCTATTTCTTTTACATTCTGACTTTACCTGCCCTCCTCGGCTGTATGAATGAGTGAAGTAACTTCAGAGGAGAAAAGACATTGGCAAAATAAACAAACGTGTTCTCACAGAGTTCCAGATGTCAAGTTGCTGAGAATGGACACTCAGTAGGAGGAAGGACTGATGGATACAGGAGGAGCCCTGCTTCAGAGCTCTGAGCAGAAGCCAACAGCGGCAACCTTGACCTCCTGTAGAGAGACTAACCGCGGACATCCACGTGTCACGGCCCCATCCCTGTTAGGTCCTTCTAAATTCTATTCACGGCTCTCCTGACCAACCAACTTTATTCTTTGTCTCCTCTTCCCTCCTTTTCTGTGATAACTATGATTCCATTAGTTCTAGAGAGAGAGAGTTTCATGTACGGAGGAGCTAGTGACTTTTTACTTAGTGCTGGCCAAAAATGGGGGAAAATGAGAAACGCTGAAATACAGTCATCAATCAGTGGCAGGGCATTTAGGTCTCGCTGCTGAGATCCTGAATCTAGCAAGCACTTACTACTTCGTGGGTAGACTTTGAAAGGTCAGTAAACTCTTCTGTTATAGAGAAAGATAAATGTAAAACAAATCAAATGCCATATTCAGTTAGCTGAAAAATGACTCCCTCGCAAGCCGCCACAAACATACTATTGAGTGGGCCTTAGATTGTTAAAGAGGTCCCTTAAAAGTCAGTAACTGTCAGAGACAGTAAAATGGCATGGGGAGTTCTGTAGCCAGACAGCCCGAATTTGCATTCTAGCTCTGCCAAATATTAAGTGTAAGACCTTGAATAAGTCATCTCACCTCTCGGGGCATCAGTTTCCACATTTATAGAAAAGGGATCATAATTCCCACCTCAAAGTGTTGTCGTCAAGATGAACGAGTTAATACCCGTATATAAAGTGCTTTGAACAGGGTCTGATAACGTAGTAAGAAATCAACAACAGTTAGCTATATTCTCCCTACCTATGCAGTTGGCTTCAACGCAGACTTCAAGAAACACCCAAACCCAAATCTAAATTCTCAAGACACAGTATACATTGATATATAACTCAAAAAACATTCCAATGAATAACTGTTATTACATGGTTATTAACACAAAAACTGACATCCAGTTTACCTGCACTTCAAGTTTGATCATAAATACAAACTCAATAAAGATGAAGAATTCCTCCTCTCACCTGTTCTTTTTCCGATTGTATCTTGATTTTATAGGAAATCAACTCACAAAACATTCCAGGTGGGAAAAAATGACATTATCTTTTCATCTTTAAATATAACCAGACTTGATTTACGCCATGAAGTGCCCACAATAACCGTCCCCAGACGAGCCTTACCTTGCGTTGTCTAGCAGTTCAGCCAGAGCTCCGAAAAGGAAGCTGTGAGTGGTGCTAATGAAGAAATCGAGGGAAAACCAAAAGCTAAATCAATTCTGCACTCAGCATAAAAGGTTCAAAAAGCTTGCAGACAAATGTTCTCCAGATCTAGACAGATAATCAATGAAGAATTATTCTAGAAACAACTTTCTTGGCACAGTCAAGATTCTGACGTAGATGTGCTCCTTTAGAAAGCCAGGGCTAGAACACAATTGCCAAAATATCCTGTCCACTCCTAATAAAATAAACACTTGAGCAACCTTACTGTAGTCAGAGCATATTTTGATGGTTTAAAATTGCTTTATAAGCATTCACTCAACTTTTTTCAGAGAATTTTTCACTAAAATTGCATTATTTAAGGTCAAATTATTTCTGAAAAATATTGATCAAAATCCTGGCCCACTAAAAGGCCATCAGGTGCCGTCTGCAGGCCCAGGAGAGCAGGGGACCCCTGTTTGCCCCACTAATCTTGCTTTTCTGTGGATCCTTTCACCTCACAGATAACCTCATGGAATACCTGAGGTCACTCTCTCCTGTACCCCCTAGTGCCAGGTTCCAGGTAACAGATCACATCAGAAGCCATCACTATTCATGCGTTCATCTGTGGGTGAAAGCAGGCTGCCTGCGGGGTCCCACGCTTGCTTTTCATTTCCCGATGCGGATATTGCAAGCAGCAACTTTATCACAGCATTAAGGGCAGATGCAGCATGCAATTGTCTTTTTATATTTAGGAACCAAGTAGCAGAAGCAAGAGAGACCCATTTATCAAAAAACATCCGCTCGTTCGTACAAGAGGAAAGATCACCTGTGGTATCTCAGAGACTCCAGACACCTCAGGCCACAGGACAGTATGTAAGCTTAAAATTTAAAATTTTAAAATGTACATACGTATATCCATTATTTTGGGAATTTCTAACTTTAAACACATGCTGATGTGGGGTATCTTGATGCGAGTCAGGTTGCAAGTTTGTCACTTACAAAAATCTATTAAATAGGAATCTATTAAATCTATAAAATAGGGCAAAAGAGAAGTGTAGGTGACATGCTTTACAAAATTAGCACTTTAAACCACGGGCCTTTATAGTGAATTTAAAACACGTGATTCAATGCACAGAAATTCAGTATATAAACAATCCTTCAGGAAAGCAACTGCAATCATTCTGACAAAAAAAAAAAAAGGCCATATACGTTTCTGTACTGTTTCATTTTTACTGACTGCCTGTCATGTGCCAATGTGGACAGACATGGTCTTTACCCTCTTGGGGCTCAAGGCAGTGGGGAATGCAGAAAATGCACAAGTAAACCAAAAAAAGAGGAAATGACAGGTTGGGATTAGCTGCAATGAGGACGGGTGATGGGGAAGAGGCACTGGTGAGGAGCGGCCTGGAGGTCAGGGAGGGCTTCTCCTCGTGCAAGACGTTTAAACCGAGCTCTGCAGGACGAGGAGAACTCAGCCCCTTGCAGAGCCAGCATGAAAACTCTCCAGCAAGAGCAGGAGGTGCAGAGACCCTGAAGCAGGAAACAGTCAAGGAGGCCAGGCTGTCCTGGCCATGGCCAAACGGGGACATCAGGTTGGGATGCAGGGATGGCCGGGTCCCGCAGGGCTCCAACTCCAAGGTTAGGAGCTCATACTTGGTTGGTCTACGCGCAACTGGAAACCACTGTTGTGTTTCAGGAAGAGGGACATATTTGGTTTACTGTTTTAAAAGCTCACTGTGGCAGCTTTCAGGAAAATGGACATAGGGGAGCAAGAACAGGAAGCAGAGAACCCAGTTTAGAGGGCGTGTGGAGAATTCCAGAAGGCAGATGGCAGCGGTTTGGACTACAGTCCGTGGCAGTGGAGATGGAGAGAAATGGATGAATCTGAGACACAGTTAGAGACAGCAAGAAGACGACTGGATGGACCGGATGTGGGGGTGAAGCAAGGGGGAAATTAAAGATCACTCCTGTTTTTGCTGAGGGAAGTCTCAAACAAAAACCTACCTAGGGCTGCTGAGAAGATGCCAATCTGTATCTGATTTTGTTTTGTTCACGTTTTTGCCACTTTTGTTGCTAAGTTACCAGACCACCAACTGATAACGGGGTGTGAGCAGGGGGGACCACGAGGTGGTTTCCGGGAGGAAGAAGCTGGGGAGCAATAGTTGCAGAAACTATAAAAAACCGAGGCTGAGGAAGCCTCCTGAGATAAAATTCACAGCCCTTCCAGCACTTGGCTTATAATTTTTCTTAAACTCACTGAAAATTGCTATTTCTTCATTTGTCTTCCACCTCAGTTAACTTTTAACCATCTGTCCCATCCTTTCCAGCTTGAAATCAATCATTCATGATAGAGAGAGAAAAACTAAATGGCTACTGAATATTGCCTGTTTTACTCTGCTTTCTGTAAAAATTACAGTTTGTCCCACACAGGAAGGCTGGCCTTTCCCTGGCTTTCTTTACACTTTCATTTCTGTGGTTTCAAATCTGGTGCAACCCTTAGGTCAACTAGGACTTTCAGCAAGTCCAAATTACTAAAAGATTCCCGACATACCACTGTGAATCACCCGCCACCCGCCACCATGCTTTGCTGTGTTGGAAACGACAGATGGAACAGAAAACCTGTGTCACCCGCCTCTGCAACCTTAGTATTTGAAATAACACCTAATGAGCAGCCAAGAGGCATCTGGGCCTGACAAAGAAGCAAGAGTGCCCTGAATAACTAAAATGTGAGAATTCTATCCTGAGATAGGTTACATTTTTGGAAAGACTAGGAGGCCACAGAGGCTGGAATCAATAAATACAAATTATTCTCTGGAGGGGAACTTTAATCTTTAAAATGTCAGTGTTTTGGGCAGAGAAATCACTAGAGATGGGCGAGGCTGGTAGAATTAGGGTTCTGCTGACCACAATTAAATAGTTTTGTTAAACGTTAAATGTGGGGCCTTCCTACCACTTGGTGTGAACTGAAGAACACCAGAAGGAGTTAGGCTGGCCCAGCATATATGTATCTTTATCACTTTTCCATTTTTTTTTTTTAAAAAGCATAAACAACTTTAAATAAACACAAATAATATTTCCATAAATCAACGATACCAAGTTCCTTTGTTTTGAAACTGGGTATTTGCCTAGGAGATGGACCAACTCTTCTCCACCACGTGGAGACCCTCCCCCGTTCTGGCTCTGCCGGACACTCACGAGTTGGCGTGGATGAAATCCCGATGCAGGCGGGCCCGCGGCAGACCAGCATACTTGTCGCTCATGTCCTCGCACGCGACCCGCGCGGCCGAAGAGACGAGAACCCTCCGCCCCCGGCCGCCCACGCCCAGGCCCACGCCCACGCCGGGCTGGGCCAACACGAGCTCCCCCTGGTGGCCGGAGCGCCAAGCTCACCCTGTGCTGTGAGCCAGGGTGTCTGGCAAGATTGGGGCGTTGCAGGTCTTGTTTCCAGCCTTTGAGAATGAGGCCTCTGAGCTAGCCTCCTCCCCCCGAGTTAAGATTCATGTAACCTTCCTAGACTGCTGTTCCTATTAGTTCCCAGCTGGGAAATGGAGCCCAAGGCTGAAGTTAGAATTTGATCGGAAATTATTACACCCACACGTAAAGAATGTAGACAATCTGAGTCTCCATGTCTGGAATATAGGGAAAGAAAATGGCTAGCTCCCTTTACTTGTGCCTTTTGTTACACAGTGACAGAGGTTAAGCTGCTTGGTGTTCTAACCCCAGCACCTACCATCCTCTGTGTCTTGGGTTGATCATGTTTTCTCCAGTTGAAGGAAAGAAAGGAGATAAGGGATCAGCCAGACAGAGAAAGGAAGGAAGAACTAAAGGCAATGAGAACAGAATTTGGACTTTGCTGTAATGGGGAGGCTTGTGTTCCTGAGAGCCTTTTCCCCCTGTCAGCTGACATTCGACTATTTGATGTGCTGGCCCGGCTCAAGGAAAGGCATTGTGTATTGTTCCAAAGGACAGAACTAAGCAAGTGGAAGAGGGGCAGGAGTGGGGATAAATGTAAGGAGGGACTGTGTACGCCAGCTGTCCAAATGGTCTTACTCTCAAAGCACTGAGTACCGAGTCATCAAAACCCAAGCTGAAACAAGATTTGTTGAGGATGCCGTATGGAAAGGTCTTGGCTGGGATGAGAACTTGGTTCGTGACCTAGTTGACCTCTAAGAAGTGTCCAAACTCATACAATCTAGGGCTGCATGACTTGCAAACTAAGGCAGTCCAATAGTTCTCAGCAGAGATTTTACATGTTAGTTTTAAAATCAGAAATGAGCGTCTCTTGAATCAAGAACTTGAACTAGATATGTTTGTGATTTCCAGGTGTCATATAAGTGATGAGGCTCTCAAAAAAGAAAAGAAAATTGTCAATTTTGGGATGGTCTTTCTACTTCTAAAGAAAGGAGTTTATCAGCTACTATATTTATAGGAATCAGGAGAGGAAGAGAGAATTTGAATGACAACCCAGAGGAACATGCTGTTCTACTTTAATTTGAAAACCAGAAGTAAACATAAACATTTCAAGTAATTTTCCTGATTGCATTTTTGCTTTCACAGAGGCTGATGTGATGGTGTTTTGATGGCAAAATTCTCTTTAGTAAGCAATTTACGCTATCTTTCCAATTTTTCCTTCCATAGAACTTCACGAATATGATATTTTATTTTCATTTTATGGCCAAGAAAGGCTTGATAAGCCTCTTCTGGATTTGCTTTACTACCCCAATTTCCAGCTGCTATCTCCAAGCAAGTTACTATTGGGAGGGCACCGGAACCACTAGCCTGTAATTAGTAAAGGCTATAATATCTAATTTCTACCAGAGGGAAAGGTGTGATTATCACAGAAGGATCCCTTCTAATAATCTGAGCAGGGCTTTCCAACAGTAAGGAGCCAGTTCCAAAGCATGAGATAATACTAGTTGACCTACATGACAGACACACAGGGGGATGTGTTAGATGGTGCTAAAAAAGGGGCCTAAGAGTTACTGCACACAGTCCACCAAAACCCTTTTCCCCTTCCCCATTTCAGCTCTGCTTAGCCACCTTCCCATTGTAAAGGCAAATCTTGTTCCTCTTCATGGTATACTTTTGGGCTTCTTTGTTTTAGCCACCTCCCCCAACCCTGCCTTAAAATTCATTTTAACATTATTTCATGATAAAAATACTGGGGAAATAGCAGGAAGGGGAAATTTTAAATGAGAACACCATCTGCTCATCTTATGGTTGATCCTGATTTTAAGGAGAGTCAATCTGGGACAAGAGACTTGAGTTCTTCCTAACTAAACATTTCAGCCTTGCCACACTCATGTCCTGGTCACAAACGACGGCTCACATCTTTCAAACTACATTCTCCCGCTTTCATTTAAATAACTTTGTATGAACCAGCATGTCATTTCTCTTCACAAGTGTGTTTAAACTTAAGAAAAAGTTTATAAACATAAGACATGGGTGCTTATACTGACCAACCATTCACAATAGTATACCGTTTCCTAAGAACTATAATTAAGAAGTGACACTGGCATATTATAATAAACACAGAAAGCAAATGCTACTAAGGTGATAATGTTGAAAGAGGCCAGTGACCCTTATTTGATAATGGTGAAATATCTCTGAGATCAACTCACACCCAACTTGTTCATTTTCTTGCTTTTGTGCAAGACTGAACCAGGTTAGTGTGTTTTCGTCACTTCCAGACTACTCCATGTTAGACAATGGTGGGGTTTTCATTACATCAGTTGCCAGTTATCCATGTAACTGGAAGTCTTTATATTCCAGATACACAGCACTGTGGTAAGCTCCTCTGGAGACTGTGGAAAATATGAGGCCTAGCGCTTGCCCAAAGCATAGTTATGGTATTAAATTAGTTAGAAAATGTGGTAGTCCCTTTGAGTTGGCTACCCCACTAGCCATTGTCCCAGCTTTCTTCTTTTTACTCTCAAAGCTGAAAACTTGCTTTCCTAGTCTTCCTTGTAACAAGGAGTGGCCATCTGACTCAGTCCTCCTAAATGATAGAAGCAGAAGTGTGCTGAGTAGTTTCTAGGAAGGCTTTGCTCTCCTGATAAGAGACCCAGGCAGGGCCAGCTCTATCTTTCTCTTTCTTGTCTCCACCTTGAATACATGCACAATATCTGGATTTTGCATCCATGAGGGGAAGGTCAAGAGAATAGCATGAAGCTGTCCCAAACATTCTTGAATTACTAAACCAAAGCCAGCAGTCACTCATCTCCAGATTTTTTGTTATGAAACAAAACTTAAAATTAATCTTTATTAAAGTAATTATAATTAGATTTTCTTTTACTTGTAGCCAATTTCTAACCAATAGAGAGAGACAAAGCATAATTACCGAAAGCATCAGAAGCATACCTTTCTTTCCATCATTGGGCATCAGCCAAAGATTAGTTATTTTGGACTATGATTTATAAGTCTTTTCTTGCCAGATGTGGCAAATGTGTGTTGAGAGGAAAAAAGATACTGCAGACAAGAATAGCCATCGGAACAAAGAGATAGAGGAAAGGGCATGTGTACAGAAGGGTATGTGTACAGAATATAATAACTGGAATCACTAGACTGAGGCGCAGGAAGAGACAAAGTTGTCTAGATAAGGAAGGAGAGTGTTAGAGAGGAGTTGGTGTGTCAGGGTGAAGTTTATGTTTAGTGTGACACGTAATTTGAAGCCATTATTGGTTCATAAAGTGAAGCAGTCGTTTATTTGGTGAAAGCCAGATCTATGGTAGGTTCCAGAAATACAAAAATGAGAATAGCTTGTTTCTGTCTCCAAAGTGTTACAATTTAATAGAGGCAGACTCTATCAAGTTTCAATGTAGGAAAGAGAAACCATTCCAGGTATGTTGACACAAAGGCATATGTTGCAGGGAAATGGATATTTACAGAACCCTTAGAAGGGATAAAAGGGCCAAAACCAGGGGACCATCAATTAAATTCAACCTCACACCATGAAGCTGCAGAACAGAGGGTGGCAGTTGGCTGATGCCACTGCTTCAACTGCCTCCAGCTAGCCATGAGGACGGTTTCCACATCTGGGAATGCTGAGGCTGGCCATTGCCTCTACACACTCACGTCCCATGTCCTGCATGGTAGCAGTAAAACAAAACATAATTTTTTCACATCCAGAGCCTTGGCTGCTAAAGTGTCTAAGTATATTTTCCAACCTCTCCAACTGGAGAGATTGGAGAGAAAGTACGTGGAGAAGAAAGGAGGCGATGTACAGTTTCTATCACGTTGATGGACTTTTAAGGCACCAATTAGTTCATTAAGGTGTTACAGGTCCTCTGAGAGGAGCCCAGACTCCAAGGAGGGAGGTGGATTAGAAAAGATTTCAAGGAATGATGACACTTGGACAGTGCCTTGAAAGATGAGCTTACGTTTGCTAGGTGAACAGAACTGGGATTGTCATTCTAGGCAGAGTCCTCAGTTGGAAAAACGAAAAGTGAATGCATGGATATTCAGCAAGTAGCTCATTATGTCTGGAGTGTGGGGTGCAAAGTGGGGCAGGAAAGAAGAGGACACAAGTTTAGAGAGGACTGGAAAGGAAGTGGGAGCCAGATTACTGTGGGCCCTGAATGCTGTGCTGAAGAATTTGGAATGTATCCAGCAGGAAAGTGGAAACCAGAGTCAAGCCTTGAGCAGTGGAGAGCCATGAATGAGTTTATGCTTCGTAAGTGATCCTTACTGGACTGGAGGAGTTCAAGACTAGAAACAGGAAGGCCAGAGAGAAGACTGTTGCAATAGAAAGTCAGGAATAGACTCTTGAGCTGGGGAGAATCTTGATGTTAAGGGGAAAAGATGAACTGGATTCCCTGATAGCTTACTTAGCTGGAAAGGTCACCTCTAGAAGACGTGCAATAAAGTGAAGAGGAGATAACAGAGAAGAGGACTTGAGTGGTGCCGATGGAGAGGAAGAGATGGATACGAAAGGTCTTCATTAGGAAAACCTGGGAGTTGGCATTTCTCAGTGGGATCAACAGATAATAGCAAATGTAGTGGGGAAATACAAGCTTGGGTGGCTTACCTTAGTTCTTCAAGGGACTGAGGGAAGCAAACAAGAAAGATGAGGCAAAAGTCGTCCCATGCTTTTACGCTTGAAGTCCTGGGGAGACGGTATGGGGCAGGCCACAAAAAAATCACCAGTTTGAAGGGTAGAAGAGAACAAGTTTATTGTCATGTGAAGGTTTAGCATTAAACAGCATATCCAAGTAGAGAACTGTCAATGCACTTTAAATAAATATATGGTTTTCCTGTCTTCAATGGAGTTAACTAACAACAAGCTGTCATTTTTCAATAAAACAGCATTTTGTGTTATGGAAAATATTAGTGAAGCTATTGAGCCTCTGTGCCACTGAA